TCACACCTGCCAATTTCTATGTACTGAGTAAGCCACTCTGAGCCAGCCCCACATATTCTCTCATGCCTTAGCTACCAGGCATTCTAGTCTATCTTTAAGACTCATTTTTTTCCTACTGATGCTTTCTCTTGGACTCAGCTAAAGTCTCCTTACTATTCAGGTGTTGACTGCCATTTAAAATAAAGAAAACTAAATTGTTCTCTGCCTCCATTCCCCAAATCTAACATTGTATATGCTCCCTCAGTGGCATATACTTTTCACAAATCATAGTGGTCAACCCCTTGGAAAATCACAGCCCATTTGCTCATCTGTATCTACATTAAGCCAGGGTTAAGAACAGTCCACACTAGCTAGCACAGTTACCTTACACAACAGAAGCTCAATCAGTAGAGGTTATATTTATAAAGTATTGCTATATATACTACAATAGTCATAGAGAAATGAAGCAACAGCAATTTAGTCCCATATACTTACAGGATAGTCTTTATGCAAAATAAACCAGGAAGGAGGCAGAAGGTCCAGCATCTGAGGACGACTCTTCAGTCAGGCATCAAAAGGAGCTACCACAACTTAGAATGGTTCAATATAAAAATATTCTATATTCTTTAAGATTCACAAAGAGAACTACCTGAAATTCTCAAGTAAAATGTCTTGCCTGAAATGCCCTGCTCACATGAGATTGTATTTTTATGAAATGGAAGCTTCCAAACTTTTGTTTTCTAGTGCTAACTGCTAAAAACAACTCCTTCTAGCCCAATTACACTCCAATCTCTAAAATAGTCCTGTAGTCATAAATTCATGTGTTCATCTACTCATAATTTTCCCTCTAAAAGTCTACAACCAAATGGCCACCTCTTTGTTTAGCAGTATTTTGAAGTTTTAAAATGCATATATCCTTTGACCTAGCAAGTTCCACTTGTTGTAATTTTAAAAAGTGGCATGTGAGAGAAAGATGCCATATGACAGAGCTTGGGTGGAGGGATTTTTATTGTGGGGAAACGGAATGGGAAAAGGATCAAGGGAAGAGGGGGAGGGAAGAGGAAGACTGGCCTCTTGTGGCAGAAGGAGTAGAGAAGAGTGTGGGTGGGGGAACAACACACAGAGAGACAGAGAAGGGTGGCTGGGCAGGGCCCTTTTAAAAGGGAAAGTAGTGAATGTGCACAAGTGGTGCTCTTAATGGCTGCAGCTGAGGGCGTATCTGCCTCTGCTTCCCAAGTGCTGGGACTAAAGGGGTGTGCCACTACACCTGTTTTTTTTTTTTAATTCAACACACACTCTTCTAGACTCTTACCATTTTATCAAAAACCTGCTTTTGTGAGTATCTGTTGTGTTCACGTCTTGTGAAAGGACTATAGCTCACATCCATCAAGTGCCAATACCATGCCTTAGCACTGCCCCTACCTCAAAGTAGGTACTCAAACAAGTGAATGAATGAATAAATGTTGACGAATAGGCTTGATAGCTCCCCAAACTTCAGGAAAAGCAAAACACAACTTTACAGAGAAAACAGGAAAAAAACAATTAAGAGATTGTTTATCTAAAGAAGACAGCATTTGATAAATTTGAAAACTGAGTGACTAGTTCACCAAATAGCTAAGACAAAACCAAGTGTTTTCTAGAAATCATCCCACCCCAAAATTAAATACAAAAAATCAGTATTTCAGAAAACATAGGGCAATCTTAAAAGGAGTACGGGTAATAAAATACATATGATATGAAACCAGAAAGGGAACTTCTGTAAAGAGGACTAGTAGGACACAGGAAAGGGAATAGGGAAGAATGAGCAACAGAACAGAATACATAGGAAAATACCATAATGAAACCATCATTTTGTAAACTAATTTTAAAAACTATCTAAGGGCTAGAGAGACAAAAGAGGCATGGCACCAAGCCTAATAATCCCTTAGTCTAACACAAATGCACGCACAAATATAATTGAAAAAAGAATGAAACAAACATGAATTTACAATGTACATTAAGTATGTATATATTGTAAATACAATACATCAATCTTTTTCAGAAAGAAAATGAAAGTGAAAATAGACTCAGCAGAAAAACTTTCTTTTATAAAACATTAATCTTATGTGTGCTTTGCCTGCATGTATGTTTATTCCCATGTGCATGCCTGAAGCCTGTGGAGGACAGAAGAGAGCTTTGGATCCCTTGAAATAGGAGTTATACCCAGTTGTGAATTTTGGGAACTGAATACAGGCCCTTTGCAAGAACAGCAAGTTTTTGGTTTTGGGTTTCTTTTCTGTGTTTGGGGGTTTTTTTTTTTTTTTTTTTTTTTTTTTGGCTTTTCTGAGACAGGGTTTCTCTGTGTATCCCTGGTTGTCCTGGAACTTGCTCTGTGGACTAAACTCTCAGAGATCTGCCTGCCTCTGCCTCCCAAATGTTTGACTATAAGGCATGTGCCACCACTGCTGGGCCATGCAGCAAGTGTTCTTATGTTCTTAACCACTAAACCATCTCTCTAGCCCCTAGAAAACACTTTCTAAAAGCAAAAGAAATCCTAACTTTTTTTAGTGAGTACATTTTGCACATGTGTTCTACAGTACATATGCGTAGGTCTAAGGACAACGTGTTGGAGTCAACAACTTGCAGGAGGTTCTCATCTAGAATGTGGCTTCTGGAGATCAAATTCAGGTCATTAGGCTTGGTGGAAGTATCTTTAAGCCAGTCATTGAGCTGCCTGAGATTTTATATAGTAGAAGCAGTATCAAAAAACATGATAGTGTAGGGAAAATATCTGCACCATGACAAAGAGTTAAAATCCTTAATATATTAAGAGTTCTTACAAAGGTTAGGTATTCAGTTCAGTGGCTCTAGAAAGTTCAAGGCCCTGGTTTCTTATAGACCCACTTAAAAAGAAGTATTTTGGGGGTCTGGAGAGATGGCTTAGCAGCTAAGAGCACTTGCTGCTCTTGCAGTAGACCTGTGTTCAGTTTTCAACACTCATGTGAGGCCATTTACAACTGTCCATATCTGTAGCTCCAAGAGCATCTACCTCTGGCCTCTGCAGGTACCCACACTCATATACACATGCACTCCTAAAGAGACAGACAGAAACACACACAGAATTAAAAATAATGAAAAACATTCTAGTGAAATAATGAACACAGAATATGAACATACCATTCACACAGGCCAGATACAAATGGCCAATGATTACTAGGTTCAACTTCAGTAGTAATGAAAATAGAACAGATTTAAAATATAGCTATCTAATTATGCAGCCCCAAGAACTGAGACAGCTACTTGTAAAAGTGATATATCAAGATCTACCAGTACCTCCAAGTCTAGGAAGCCATTCTTCAAAATGACTGGCTCATGTAGAAGTTCTATTTCAAAGTTTTATCATTTTGTTTTTTGAGACACGGTCTTGCTATATACCCTTGGCTGGCCTGGAAATTTCTATGTAAACTAAGCTGGCCTCAAACCCACAAAGATCCATCCACCTGCCTTTGCCTCCCAAGGGCTGAGATTAAAGTTGTACACCACCATGCCTGCCATTTTTTTTAAAAGTAGAAAAGATATAATACACTTTACAAGTAAAGACAAATTTTATTGTTTGAACTCAAATGGCTATGTTTTTCTCATTTGTAAGTAGTAAGATTTTTCTAAAAAAATCCATCTTTTCTGTATTTCTTTGGAGAAACATGTGTAGTGTCATTACTACCTTTTTCATAAAGGCATTTGTAAACTGAGAAAAATACTATAAAAAAACAAACCACTCCCAGCTCAACATCTACCAGAAGAAACCCATCTTTGCTGGTATTACATTTACTCCACAGAATTCCCAAGCAAAGCACTAGCCATATAACTCCCACCAGCATAAATATGTGGAGCACAAAGAATAGTCAGCCAGGTCCTGAGCACACCCCATCACAGTAAGGGGAAATGACAACTAAAGTCATAGGATCACAAACAGAACCAATCCTGGGACCTGGAGGCAGTACTATGGTCTTCGTTTCCTTCTATTCTCCTCTACCTAAAACTTAATCCCCCAGATAAATATGCTATGTGGGGGGGCTAATGTGTATGTACACAATAGATTTATGAGATGTAATAAATAGTAGATATACAGAAAATGCTACTTGGGGGTCTCAGCTACAATCACAATGCAGCACGTGTAACAGTCAACATTTTCTCTTGTAGAAAATGGAAATTCAATTGGAATTATCTGTTTTATCATATAAAAATCCAGGTGATAAAAATATCAAACTTGGAATAACTACTGACTTAAAAAAAGACTTGAGAGGTTTGGGCCTGAAAAAGGATGAGAAATTACAGAACAATCCATTCTTAAAAAACTAAAATCGACACAATGGTTCCACAGTGCAGCAGATCTGTCACATAAATGTCAGGTCTACAATGACTTGGCTGTCCAGCTTTTCCAAAAGCATTTATTCTACTGTAGAATCCCAAGAGCTGCACATGTGTCTGAGTGCACTCCATCACAGGAGTACAGCAAGCAAGCATCATTAGCCACAGTCTCCAGTGTTCTGTGGCACTTTCAGAAGGGTGCCCTTCTAGGGAACCAAATTACCAGTTCCTGTATCTGAAAATGCAGTACAGCACTTTTTTTCTAACATTGACCAGTTAGTCATTTAGCCCAAACCAAAGCAAAGAAAGCATCATGCTGAAGACTGCTAGGTAAGAGCAGCAGCATAGAGGAAGAGATCAGGACAAACACTCTCCTGCTTCAAGGTGAACTGAAGCTGCAGATCACCAGTTCCAGCTCTAATCTGACACCCACCCCCAGATCACATTGTGACTACCAAGTAACTCTACCCAAACTGAACTGACCTTTCAGGGCTCAGGGAAGTGACTTTTTTTTATTATATGGCACAGTTTGGCCCAGTTATGTTTTTTTTGTCTTTGGGGTACTTTTATACTGTCCAAGAGTATTATCTTTTTTTTCCTTTTTAAATTTTGTTTTAAAAACAGATGGCCAAACCAGGACATATACTAAAAAAAAAAAAAGGAAGGTTACTTACCTGAGCCCTAACATCCCAGCTACCATGGAATCCTGTTGGAGCTGGTCTACAGAAGCAAGGTGTATTCTGGGGAGTCACATGTCACATCAAAGCAGGAACTGGTGAGTCTGTATTTTTATGGAGCCTAAAACAAAGAAAATTGTAAGTTGAAAGTCCCCATTGAGCTGCACCTTTTTCCCAAGGCTTTTGGGACATTTTGAAGATCAACACAAAGTACTGTTACTTCCCAGCTCTTCTAGTTAGAAGCAAAGAATAAACTGCAAGTACTGCCACAAGACACAGAATGCTAAAATAAAAACAAGATTTATGCTTGTTAAAATTGACACTATCAGAGGTCTTGACACCTCTGGGGAACACTTTGAAACTACAATGCATTCCAAAAGTGGTGATTTCTGGTAAGTATTTCTTCTACCAAGTCATACAGGGAAAATTCAAGGATAGAATGTGTTCAAAACTGCATGCAACATCAAAACATCACCTCAAAAAGAACACACCAAATCCAGAAGCCAAGTTTCCCTTCTGCTTCCAGCAGTCAAAGCTGCAAGGAACTGCTCTAACATCACACAAAGGGGCTTTCACCTTGAGATAAAAGACAAAAAGCACCAGGAGAGCCAAAGCCATCATTCAAAATATAGAAGTACATCCTTAACCAATTACTGTAAGCCTCTCAAATCAGTAAATCTCAATGTCTATAAAACATTGAGTTGATAGGTCTTTTGACTATTTTGTTATTTTTTGTTATTTTTCTTAACATTTTTTTAGAATATATATATGAGCATTTATCTAAACGCATGTCTGTGCACCATCTGCATGTAGTGCCTGCTGAAGCCAGAAGAAGATGCCATCAGATAGATCCCCTGGGACTGGAGTTATAGATCACTGTGAGTCTCGATCGATTAAGGTAGTAGAAATTGGACCTAGGTCCTCTAGAAGAGGAACCATTGTTCTTAACCGCTGAGCCATCTCTCCAGTCCTTGTTGTTACTTTTTTTTAATTGAGAAAAATGAAATATATTAACACTTTATATTTCAACTAAAAATTGAAGATATGAAGTGACAATTTTTCCATCTTTTTCCATTTTTTAATTTCAATTAGAAACAAGCTTGTTTTACATGTCAATCCCAGTTCCTTCTCTCTCCCCTCCTCCCATGACCCCCACTAACATCCTACTTATCATATATCCTTTCTGCTCCCAAGGGAGGTCATTGTTGTTACTTTTTAAGGCAGTTCTGTTATATAGTTCAGATGTCATCAAACTCAGATCTTCCTGTTTCAGCCTCTCTTGTTTTTGAACACATGTTCAAATAAGGATGTTGCCATCAGGATACCCATTGTTCCTTGTTAAAAACCTAAATTGCTCCATATTAGCTAATTTCAGATACCTGGCTCTCCCAGCAATAATACTTTTTATCTTTAGACTAAAAGAAAAGCTTACATTATACAACTTAAGACTATTATAGTCACTCATGTGGTCAAATCCAGATGAAGGGCAACAGCAATCAAGTCCTTGGCAGCTGATTGCCAATTCCCTAGATGATGCCTACAGTTACCTTTTAAGACTCAGTAAAACCTCTTCATTCCCATAATTTCCTTAAGTCATAGAATTAAGTAATGGAACACTTTGAAATCCCAAAGTTAGTATTTTTTGGATGCTCGCCTAATAAAAAATCAAACCAATACCTTGTTTAGAAGGGCTTGCAAAGTCACAAGTTCTCAAGACCACTGTTTTTTTTTTAAACATTTTATTTATTTATTATGTATACAACATTCTGCTTCCATGTATATCTGCACACCAGAAGAGGGCACCAGATCTCATCACGGATGGTTGTGACCCACCATGTGGTTGCTGGGAATTGAACTCAGGACCTCTGGAAGAACAGTCAGTGCTCTTAGCCTCCGAGCCATCTCTCCAGCCCCCAAGACCACAGTTTTACCAACATACAATTTTATTGTTTTATTTTTTGTAGTACTGGAACTGAAATCAGTGCCCTGCATGTGCAAAGCAAACACTCTACTACTGACTGAACCATCTATCTTCAGCCCTTTTTTTTTCAGGTACTGAACTAAGCTTAATTCTAAGCTCTTAAAAAGTTTGAGTTCGTTAATTAACTCAAGATTTCAGACAAAAAAAACTAAAAATGAGTATAGTTAGGTGAAAATCAAACAAAAATGTTCATGCTTTAACACCTCTGGTTCTTAGGAAAGGGAGATAAGCACACTTTTACTAAGGCTTGGTCAATAAAAAGAGTCCAGACATCCACAGTACTGGCAAAGAGCTACACTAGGTGAGCAGACATCCAATGCTAGCAGAGCCCCCAGAAGAAGGTAAAAAAAGGCCAATATTTACTCTGGTCACACCGCCCCCTTTAACATTGCCTTCTCTCAGAGTCTTGCTACCACTCAGTCATCTCACACACTGTATCTACCATGAAAGTGGTCTAATCAAGTATTTAAGCCATCAAGAACAAATCAAACTTTCAAAAGAAAATGTTCCTTGAAAGAGAAAAGCAGAAGAAAATTGTGGAAAACAGAAGAGCACATACACCTTCTATATAAGCAAGCCCTGGAAGGAGGGAACCACTGACATTGGTCCTCCCCGAAATGATGAGTAGGTACAGTGCTGACTGGACAACTACAAAAGGCTGTAATGGGCACTGAGGACTATGCCCTTCCCTTGGAAGAACACTAGTGTTCTTTACTCAAAAAGAGATTGTTTCTCTCAGTCACATAGCTTGGTCTGCACAGATGTTACCAGAGCAGATGATGAAAATGAGATATTTTGCCACATTCCTAATTCTCCAGTCTAGACTGTGCTTAAAACATTGGTTACTACAAATGTCATTGTCCATGATTCTCTGTTTCCCAGAGGTAACTCAGACAGCATGGTGATAAAATGCTCTTAACCAGTTAAAAGATTCTCACTGATAGTCACCTTTAGGAAAGATAAAAGGTTCAGGATATAGTTTACCATGCAAACAGGCTAACAAGTTTACCACTGCTGTTCTTTATTCTAGGTTAAAGAAACAAACTTCTCAGGACTGCTTGGGTGGAGTTGGGGCACTGGCACATGGGACTGTAGTCGATTTTTCTTTCAAACTCCATAGCTTTGCCTCCCTGCCCCCAGTAGATTAGGCCTCATAGAAGCAGATCAGGCAGAGGGTACAACTCTATCTGGAAAATATAAACACAGATTGCAAAAACGGATCATAAACTTCCAAAATCTTTGTGGTTTATGCAGTGCCCCAGATGTACTTCAGGATTCAAACAGCATGAAGGAAAGAGTAGAAAGCTAGGGGTATAGCTCAACTGTGGGGTGATTGCCTAGCATACACAACGTCCTGGGTCTGATCACAATTACAACAAAAACAACAACAACAACAACAAAGTTTTAAAAAATTCTCAGAGTACAACTGACACTACATGATGCTTTCTTCCTAAGTGAAACAAAGATCTGCTACTGCAGCTTTAAAACATTCAAGGCACATCCTCATGGAAAGGAAATAGGAATATGCAATAGTTAATATTAGCAAGAAAGCCATACAGATTTTTCAAACTCTCAGGACACATTAACTCAACTCTCAGGACATACTAACTTCAGATGTCACCAGACAATTTGAAAAGAAACTGTATTCTAGAAGTTACTTACACTTTTTAGAGAGTTAGGAGTACAACAAATAGATAACTGGAAGGGCACCTGAAGGAAGCAAATACGTTGAAGAATATGAAAATAAACTAAAGAGTCCAACTTAGCTCAGGCTCAAATGTACAAACCTTGGAATCTTCGACAAGCAAGGCTTCAGTTTGTTTGTGAAAATGAATGCACTCTGTTGATCAGCCACTTGGCTGCTCTGACAAGAATGGGTCATGTGCACCAACTCATTTTAGATCATTTGTACTTCTTCTAAACTGTTTGGATTCTTTAAGGTTCTGACATACCCAAGTAGAAAATAAATGCAAGTGTTTCCTAGGCTTTCTGAATAAGATTTGAAGTTAAAACCAACAAACAAACAAAAACAAAAGCCCATAAATAAAAGTGTATTTTTCCAAATCCTTGGTGGAAATTCCCCAAAGACCTAAACAATCCAGACTTAATCTTTTTATAGAGATCCGGCATACTTCAAAGGACCCAAACGGTCAGGTTAATCATGTTATTAATTGAAACTTCTGAGATTCACATGACAATTCCAACCACAAACCCCAAAATCCTCGACTACAGTAATAATTACCTATTAGTACAATGTTACTATCAAGGCACAAATTGGCTTCAATTATATAGTATAATAAAATACCTAGAACTTGTGAGAGTCCTACAAACATCTCAGCCAATTAGCACCATTATGTTTTATGACCAGTATCAATAACCCTGTATTTGATCCTATTGTCTCTCTCACTGTTTGGGGTAGTGATTCCAAACACTGGAGACAACATGCAAATGGCTCAACAGAGCCCATTTGTGTTCCTGGAAAAAATAACCAGAAGCACCTATCTGCCTGACCATGAGTCAGGAATATCAATTTTGTGGTGGAGCCCATTTTTGCTGTGATCAACCCATACCCGAACACAAAGAACTAGCAGAGTTACTCCCTAGCAAGCTTTGCCTTCAGGGGTCCATACTTAGCAATGTCATATGGGGGTCTTTCTTGTGATAGCAATCTTTTTAGACTGCATAATGACTTTAAACCTTCAGTGCAAAAGCCTCGGAAACATTGCCACATAAAAGTCACCTGTGTTTTATTTTAAGTGATTTAGCCACAACCAAACTAGAAAGAGAATGAACTTTCAGAGATAATCGACAGGAGTCCCAGCGATGCGATGAACTTGCCCCATCTGGTACTGGAGATCCTGAGCGCTCCAGAACGAAGAAAGCCCGTTACATACAATGTCCCATTCCACTTATGTAACTGGATGATCGCTGTCGAAGCAGGGTGGGGGTGGGGTGGGAAGACGCTCAT